GCTGATGTCGACCACGTGTACGACGGCGGCGGCTCGCTCGCCTATCGGTGCAGCTGCAACGGGCTACGCCGAGGCTGGGCCTGTCACAGCACGCTCGTGCAGGCGGAAACCGTCCGGGCCTGCCAGCGGAGGCACGACGCCGACCTCGAGCGGGCGCGCCGCGCCGAGGCAGAGTGGACCGCGCGCGCCTCCAGTCGGATGGTCGCGGCGGTGCTTCACGACCCGGAGGCACCCGCCACCTACACGTCGACTTGTGTGCTACTGTACGGGCGCTCGCGCCAGCACTCCGCTTCGGTGATCCTCCTCCTCCAGAACTCTCGGGGCCGTATCGAGCCGATCTCCGAGTCGCGCGAGTGGGGGACTCTGCTCTCCTTTACCTTTTTGTATGCGACTCGTGTCCTGCTTGTTGCGTCCTACTAGCCTACTGGTACTGCTTTCGTACGACCTTTACTCGACTCTCGAGACCCCGGCCGCCAACGACGCTCCACGCCGGTTACTCTCTCGGCTTCCAACGTGGAGCCTGGAGGCCTGTCCTCTTGAACTCACTACTCAGCAGAGAGGGGCCTAGAACACGCCCAATGCCCCCACTACAAGAGACCCTCGAAAGAGACCCAGGATGGCCCAGAGCGCAGAGGCCTTCCCAATAGATGGGGGCGGGGGGGAGGGACACAAGCGGCAGACGACCCCCCCGAGTTCCTCAGATCAAGAGCGAGACGCGCGCCGCGTAGCCGCGTGGGCGTAGCCGCGTAGGGCGTAGCCGCGTAGCCGCGACGACGGGCGTAGCCGCGTGCGACCAGAAGGTCGGCTGTGAGGCGAGGCAGGTGGGGGGCGGGGGTGTCCCGGGTGGATCCCCAAAAGCGGGCGAGCCGGGCCCGTGCTTAGTTCGGGCGCGGGGGGCGCGGGAGCATGAGCAAAGCGCACCGACATGCTGGTGGCTACCGGTCTCTTGATTGCCTGATTTAGATTTTGACGATTCCGTCGTTGGCACCGTCGTTCGGAGCGCATCCCGAAACCTCTCCGCTCGAGACGGAGTTTAATTGTTTTGGGGGATTCCGACCGACCTAGCAGATCGCAATGAATGCACCCACCCCACAAGACCCAGAAGCCCAGAGACGACCCAGAGACATGCCAATGTGATGCGGGGCGGGTGAGGGGGGGTTGGCACGAACTACGTTCGCCTGCTACGTTGCTACGAGCTCGAGGCTCCGAGTTCCTTAGATGGAGAGCGAGACGCGCGCCGCGTAGCCGCTGCGCCCGCCGTCGTTGGCGTGCGGCACGTAGTAGGCGTGTGCGGCAGTGACGAAGCCGCCCGTGAAACCCTTCAGGTTGGAGTTCGTGTCGGCGAGGTTGAGGTACTCAACGCCCGAGGAGGAGAAGTCGGAGAGCGAGACGCGCGCCGCGTAGCCGCTCCGCCCGCCATTGTTGTGCGGCACGTAGTAGGCGTGTGCGTCAGTGACGAAGCCGCCCCAGAATCCATTCAGGTTCGAGTTCGTGTCGGCGAGGTTGAGGTACTCGACGCCCGAGGAGGAGAAGTCGGAGAGCGAGACGCGCACCGCGTAGCCGTGGGGCGAGCCGTTGTTGTACGGCACGTAGTAGGCGTGTGCGTCGGTGGCGAAACCGCCAATGAACCCCTTCAGGTTGGAGTTCGTCTCGGCGAGGTTGAAGTACTCGACGCCCGAGGAGGAGAAGTCGGAGAGCGAGACGCGCGCCACGTAGCCGTTGAGCGCGCCGTTGTGGTGCGGCACGTAGTAGGCGTGTGCGTCAGTGACGAAGCCTTCAATGAACCCCTTCAGGTTCGAGTTCGTGTCGGCGAGGTTGAGGTACTCGACGCCCGAGGAGGAGAAGTCGGAGAGCGAGACGCGCGCCGCGTAGCCGCTCCGCCCGCCGTCGTTGTAGTGAGGCACGTAGTAGGCGTGTGCGTCGGTGGCGAAGCCGCCAATGAACCCCTTCAGGTTCGAGCTCGTGTCGGCGAGGTTGAGGTACTCGACGCCCGAGGAGGAGAAGTCGGAGAGCGAGACGCGCGCCGCGTAGCCGCTCCGCCCGCCGTTGTTGTGCGGCACGTAGTAGGCGTGTGCGTCAGTGACGAAGCCGCCCCAGAATCCCTTCAGGTTCGAGTTCGTGTCGGCGAGGTTGAGATACTCGACGCCCGAGGAGGAGAAGTCGGAGAGCGAGACGCGCACCGCGTAGCCGCTCGGCCCGTCCTCGTTGTTGAACGGCGCGTAGTAGGCGTGTGCGTCGGTGGAGCAACCTCCAA